TTCCTAGTAGCTTCTTGTTACTACTAGTAAGGCACTTGTTACTACTAGCGTGGCACTTGTTACTACTAGCTTCTTGTTACTACTAGTAAGGCACCTGTTACTACTAGCGTGGCACTTGTTCTTAGTAGCTTCTTGTTACTACTAGTAAGGCACTTGTTACTACTAGCGTGGCCCTTGTTACTAATTCCTTCTACACACTTTGAAGACTTTGTCCCCTTATAATATAGCTCGCATGAAACAGGCCAACCCATGGCACACATTGGCACTCCAACTTTCAGGCTTTCAGGTGGGAAAGAAGACCTTTTTCAACTCGCAAAGGGAAAAAAACAATACAAAAACCTGGAAGTTCCAGTCAGAAGCATGATGCTCCATATTGATGCATTGTGTTCACAACCATGGAAGTCTCCGTGCTTCGTACGCTTCGTTAGGTCCGTGTTAGGTCTGAACATTGAGATATAAAAAAGCCTCCCAAACTTCCACAGCAATGAAATCTTCCATGTTTGAGGACCGTGTGCCAGTGCTCATCTTCAAATTCCTCAACTTTACAGTGAGTCAAATCATTCAGCTTCATTGCTACAAACAACGATGACTGAGCATCCGAATCTTAACCAAGGCAAACCAATGTTCTGCATTGACATATCTTGACCTTGGATTGTCATGTTTGTTCCATGTTCTTTTCAAAGTGCTGTATCGGAAAGCATCTCGGTTGGGAAGTCAAAACCTTCCGTAATTGGTCGCACATGTAAATAAGTGCCGCTGGTTTTTGTCAATTTGCAAGTTGTGATCCTGGACTCAAGTTTCAGCGCAAAAGGGGCTGGTGGGCGGGACTCGATACCCGGGCGGGTCCGCGAAGACGAGAGGAGACTCCTTGACGCAGTCACCCGCACTAGCAGGGGCACATGTGGCCATGAGGCTCGCCTTTGACCGTGGAAAGTGCTGCTAGTAGTAAGGTCAGGAGCCCCTAGTAGCTTCTTGTTACTAGTAGTAAGAATGCTCCTAGTAGCGATGCCAGGAGCCCCTAGTAGCGTCCTTGCTACGGAATTTTGTGGAGATGAGCTGGACACAAGTTGTCTAACAATGAAGAGGCCAGGGGGGTTGAGGAGCCAATTTCATGAGACCTTGCCACTACTGGAGGTCCCTTTCGAAATTGGCCTTGCTAACGCTTGAGAAAGGATTGCAGTCAGTGAAAGAAGTGTGTACAGTGTGGCCCGAGTCTTCGAAGGTGGAAGCCAGAACACTTGGATGAAGATAGCCCTAGACTAAAGGACCACAGCACAGCAGCTTGGTGCCAAAATCTATTCCAAATGCAGGGCCACAAACCTGAGCGTCTTTCCCCTAACTAGGCTTATCATTAGCAAAGGTTGGCGCATCTTGGTTACAGCAAGGATTGGCATTCAAGCTAGTTTCAGTACCACTTTGTGTCCACATCTTGCCAGTCCTTCAGCATTAATTAAACTCAATTTCTGCCAGGTCCTTTTGAACACTCTAAGTCTTCTAAGTTTAAGTCACCAAAGGAGGCAATCATCAACAAGAACAAAACATAAAAGCCGCTAATGTGTTGCCACTCCATGAAATCGCACAACCAACGCTCAGCGACACAGTGCCTCCTGTTCCAGAAACAGCAAAGAAGCAAAAGGAGGACCTTCCAAACATGATTGAACTTCCACTCCGACTCTGACGATGACATGATGACATTTCTCACGCTGAACTTGGAACTTGGCACAAACTGCTGCCAGCGCATAGGCCATCCACTGGTTGGTAACCAATTGGGTAGCATCACCTATGCACACTCACATCACAAATCAACCAATTCAGTGTCAAACCAAGGCAAGGACTCACAAAGTCAACTGTCTCCTGACAAAATTTAGTGCTGATGGAAACTTGCCAAAATTGAGCAGTGAAACTCACGAAGGTGTTTTACAACCCAGTTTGATATTCCTCGTGAACTCTCGCTTTCGAGGATGACAAATCAAAACCAACGGCGAATTCATCTTCTGAGACCTTCCAAAGGCAACTCAAGCACGCATGCAGGAACAAGGTCTCGAAAGTACCACATGAGGAATTCCAGAAACCGATCAATCCAAGCCCTCTGCAAAACCATTCCGATTTGTGTCAAGGTACCTGCCAAAAAGCCTCTTTTGAGGCCACAAAAGGAAAGAACACGTGGCAATGGCAACACCAGAACAAGGTTCCCAAAAAGGTCACGAGAAGCCCGGCTCCCACTCTTGACCGACCTCATCATGAGGTCGGCAAAAAAGAGAAGCTAACAAATCATAAATCGTTCAACCTAAGAGCAATGGCCTCCCATGCTACGGCCCATGCTACGGCAGATGAATTGCCTACAAAGTTGGCCCAAACCTCGGATCCAAACGACATGTTCTCACACCGGCGCTTTGGGACAAACACCTAGCTTGTTTTGCCCTCCATAGCTTGCCCCAAGCAAACGACACGGGACCATGAAGACCTGAGTTCACGACACGGGACCGACAATTCATGCTCAAATGTGCGATGCCCTTTGCTCCTAGTAGCGTCCTTGTTACTACTAGTAAGGCACTTGTTACTAGAAGCGTCCTTGCTCCTAGTAGCGTCCTTGCTCCTAATAGCGATGCCCTTTGTTACTAGTAATTAGCTTCTTCCATGCTCACATTTGCGATTGCTGCAAATGTTTGTCACCTTTTGAAATGGAGTCGCGATGGCACCGATGTGATATTGTGCGAAACCTCACGCAGCTGGGGTTGTAGCCATGGAACCCCATGTTCTTCGGCATTGGGGCTTGCCATCGCGATCCACGCCTCTCAAAGCAGCACGCGCTTCATGCTGTTTGAAAAAACGGTGCAATCAAACTCAAAAAAACACCAGGCAACCACAGCCCGGTGAATGTGCAGAAGCCTCCGTTGAATTGTCGTACTGGGAAGATGCCTGCACAATCTCTTGAAACAAAGCCTGTGCCAACCTTCCCGCCTGTTGTCCTCCTCTCTCTCTCTCTCTATCTCGCTCTCTCGTTCATTCCTATTGTCGTTTCTCGTGAAAGACATGTGCGAATTGAGAGTCCAGCCCAATGACTCCACACCTCAACCTTGAGCTTTTCGGTCCGGATGTGCGAAATGCCATGAAAAGTAAACCATAGAGGCCATAGCTATTTGGTTGGAGGCCATTGCAAGCATCAAAACAGCAGCTCGAAGAACTACGTGGGCAAAACAAGTCGATAGAACTAATTGCTTCCATGTTCAGTGCCCCGCTTGCCATCGTGCATCTTCTTGATTATAGTCACTGCACCCCGCCTGCATGCATCAAACATGCGCATGAATACAACTTGAATTGAAGCTGAGCCGCCAACGGGCGGGAAAGTGCACTCCAAGACCCTTTCAAAAGTATAGGCCTTCAAAGAGGGAAAAAAACTAACGCTCATCGACCATGTAGCTCAAACTACCATAGCTTGAGGCTCTTGCAAGGGTTACCATGGAACTGTTCTCCGCGAGGTTTCGGAACCTGAGCTCACAAGTTCCAAGTCATGGCTTCTTGCAAACACCTGTCAGTTTAGCAACTTCTGGTAGCAAACATCAAGCTGAAGGCGAAACACAACGACCAAAAACTTCCCCATAGAAGCCAAGGGGCGAAAGCTCCATTGGTGAAGTCAGTGCACCAAGCCTCAGAAAAACTAAGCAAAACAGCTTTAAAACAAACGCTCACAATGGCTCCTCTAATTTTTAGGCAAGTCCTGCTTGAGAAACCGTGCTCTTGATGGATATGTGATGCAGCATGTAGTAACAAGTGCCTTATGCCTTACTAGTAGTAACAAGAAGCTAGTAGAAACAATAAGCTGCTAGTAACAAGTGCCACGCTAGTAGTAACAAAGTGCCTTACTACTAGTAACAAGAAGCTAGTAGAAACAAATAGCTTCTTGTTACTACTAGTAAGGCACCTGTTACTAGTAGTAAGGCACTTGTTCCTAGTAGCTTCTTGTTGCTACTAGTAAGGCACTTGTTACTAGAAGCGTGGCACTTGTTCCTAGTAGCTTCTTGTTTCTATTTGTTTAAAACGGTCAGAATGTGAGAGATCGGGATGTGATGCAGCAGCGTTCTTCGTTTCAGCTGTAGGTGTGACGTGGGTGCTGCAAATGCCTTGACCATGTCGGTTTAGGGCATCGTCGCGGGCTTAAGAGGACAGGGCATCCTGAGCATTAGGCACTGGCTAAGTCAAACTCGCATTCTTTTGTCAGCCTGTGCGTGCATAACACTTCTGTGCGCACAACACCCCACCCCAGGCGGATGTTGGGCTAGCATGCTAACTCTGCACCCAGGCTTGTATAAGAGTCACTTGAAGAGAAGCAGCGAGAATTCTTTATGTTTATTGAACAATTGCCACTACTATTGCAATGATCTTGATCGAATTACCGTACGCCTTTTCCCTTCTCCAATCATCTCCGTTCGCCGACCACGGAGTACATCGTAGTACCAACACGTCTGAGTTCCCAAACAAGTACAGGCTCACGTTGTCCTTGCACCAAGTATATGCCAAATACGGATTCTTCTACTTCAACATGGAGCACTTCAAAGGCTCCTCAGGGGATTCTGCGCTGCTGGACATGACAATGCCAACATCCTGCGTGCGCAGGGCGTTGATCCAGTCGCTCCCGAGGAACATGTGCAGCAATGTACACCATCTGTTCTTTAAAAGGTTTAGAGTCAGATTCTCTGAAGAATGATAAGGGCGAGGCATTCCAAAAACCAAATACTTTTTGGACTGGTCTCAGCATACCATACCAGATTACATATCCTTGGGCATTTGGGGATCCTTAACCTCGATATGGCCCACAACATCTCGTGCACCCCACTTCCTGGAGCCTCCCTGCTTAGTGTGTTCTGAAGTTTTCATTCGATCAACATCTTGTGGGGAAAGCTAGATTATGCTCCAAGCCAGGCTGAGAGGGGCCATCGCGGCCCTCGTGTTGTATATCGTCGTCTCTTGAAATCTTCTCTTTTCAAGTGCGCAAAAGGAGTACAGCCAATGGCAAGGTGCAACCCCTACAAAGCTATCACAAATTATAGTATCCACAGGTATCTAAAGACTGTGTTTCAAATCCGCCGACCCCACACCGTGGGGTGAGGCGTGACTGTCGATGTTAGCCTTAGCCTTAAGCCTTAGCCTTAGCCTTAGCCCTAGTCCTTAGCCTTAGACCTAGTCCTTAGCCTTAGACCTAGACCTTACCTCCCCTACCCCTCCGGACCCTTGTTGCAGTTACGAAAAACGCGCCCTGAAAGCGACCTGGATTGTCCAAGAATCTGCCATCCCAATTGATTTACATCTTGGGGCACCCTCTCGACCCGCGCGGGAAAATAAGCACGGTCCAAAATGGTCCTGGGCTCGAATCCCGGGCTGGTCGCGGCATGGTCCCGGCCAATGCCCCTGCTTTTTCGTAGATTTTGTCACGTTTTCTGTTGGTTTATGAGATTTTCAAAGGCTTTTCTGGCATTTTCCTCGGAATGCTCTAGGCTTTGTCTAGATTTTGTTATATTTTCGGCTGGATGCTTTTCCAAGAAGTTTCCTCGCCGGGAGAAACCGATCGATTCAGCAGACGTCCGGGCGCCGACACTTGTGGCACTTGAATGTCCCCTAGACCATCGGCAGCGCCCTGCGGCCCCACAGGCCGCAGAACTCAACGCGTCACGGGGTTCATGCAAGAGCTGACGTCGGATGGTAAATCGGGAGGTACCCAAAAAGTCGACTTTTTGGGTACCTGCTTTGGTGGTGCTGGGTTGGGTCTAAATTTTGGGCAATGATATCCTTTATGGGGACGAGGGTTCAGCATACGGGGTTCATGCAAGAGATGACGTCTGATGGTAAACCTGGGAGGTACCCAAAAGTCGACTTTTTGGGCACCTGCTTTGGTGGTGAAGGGTTGGGTCTAAAATGAGCAATGATCGGGGTTCATGCAAGAGCTGACGTCCGATGGTAAATCTGGGAGGTACCCAAAAAGTCGACTTTTTGGGTACCTGCTTTGGTGGTGCTGGGTTGGGTCTGCACTCTAGGCTAAGGCTTAAGGCCATGACGTCCGATGGTAAACCTGGGAGGTACCCAAAAAGTCGACTTTTTGGGTACCTGCTTTGGTGGTGCTGGGTTGGGTCTGCACTCTTAAGGCTAAGGCTAAGGCTTAAGGCTAAGGCTAACATAGAGCAAGGCTAGCGCTAAGGTTCTATCCCTTGGGGGTCGGCGGCTGCAGGCGGTAGCCTGGTAAATCCGGGCGCCGGCCACGAAGCCCGTGTCCTCGCCGGAGGCCTTCGGTGGTAACCGAAGGTTATAGACGGTCGCGCCGGCTGCCGCCGACCCTCGTCACCAAAACGGGGGGACCACCGAGTCACTGATATCAACGTAATTTACAGGGTTTCGTGTGTGTGAGGTATAAAAAAACACTGTGCTTTACAGGGTTTATTGCGCATATCGAAGTACGACGCGGGGAAAATGGAAAAATGCAAAAATGCTGTGTTTTTCAGGGGTGGTGTCGGTAATGCGGGCCCGGCGGACAGGCTTAATCGACATTTTGTGGGTAGAGGCCCTCCAGACGACTTACATTTCCTAACATATCCTCAACATAGGCCCAAGATAGCCAACATATCCCCAACATATGCCCAACATAGCCTCCAAGATGGCTCAACATGGGGCCAACATAGGCCAACATTGGGCCAACATGGGGCCAACATACGCCAACATAGGCCCAACATAGGCCCAACCTAGGCCAACATAGGCCAACATAGGCCAACATAAGCCCAACATGGGCTCAACATGGGCCCAAGATGTGCAACTTGGCCCAACCTAGGGCCAAGATGCGCACCAGATAGCTTAACTTTGCTCAATATAGGCCCCACCAAGGCCAACATAGGCGTGACATACGCCCCACAGACCCAGTGGGCCGGCGCCCGGCTGTTAGGCGTAAGCCTTTAAATAAAGATGGGCCCCTTCTATCTTCATTGTGTGCCCCTTTAATTTCAAGCACCCGGCCTTGTAAACGCCGGCGCGAACTGTGCGGTTGATAAGGCCATGATCTTGGAGCAGGGTGACTCTGAAAAAAGCAATCTGTCATTGCTTCGACGTCTTAGGAGGCGACCCTGCGCTGCAACCACAACGTAGTTTGCCTCGTGTGTGCCCAACATGTGCCCAACTATCTGTGCTTTCATGCACCTTAAGAACGAAGAAGACTCACATTATTGCTGAAAACAAGTGCCACGCTAGTAGTAACAAGTGCCTTACTACTAGTAACACAAAAGCTATTAGAAACAAGTGATTTAATCTGTGCTGGCGCAGCAAACTCGTCCATTTAGACCAGGCCGCTTCGTCGCGAAGCTGGAGGCTCAACGGCCCAGAGCTGGAAGAAGCAGACACCCGGAAGCCTGATGAGAACATCTCAGATCCTTTTGTTTCCAAAAATCCCAGATCCATAAAGCAATTGAGTTGGAAAATGAAACTGATAGAATCGCTAGTAGGTTGGACGCCATTGCTACTAGGGTGAAGGCCGTCGGTCTTAGGTTGGCGGCCATTGCTACCAGGGAGGAGGCCATCGCTCGCAAACTCCTCTCCCTTCCCTCGCAAACAAAAGGCGTGTCATGTAGTGAGGGCCTTCAGTCCCTAAAGGGATGGCCAGCGGAGCGCCTCGTCCAACTTAAGAAAAAATAAGCTTCTCGTTCAACATCAAGAATTCTGTGACCTGTTTTTTCTTTGTCTTCTTCTTCTTCTTCCTCTTCTTCTTCTTCCTCTTCTTCTTCTTCATATCTTGGTTCACATTTACTTTGAGTCACTGGTCTTGCTTTCTGGTCCTTTACAGTATCTTGGAGCCCTTGTTGAGTTTGACGTGGGCAGATCGTCACTGGGATCTCTGCTTGTGGCTGCTGGTGCTAGCGAAATATTGCGCACTCCAAATCCACCGCCACAGCCTTATGCAACAAAGGATCTGAAAACACTTGAAATAACTTATTATATCTCATTATATAACATTATGGCATTGAAGTCGCAATTCTCGATGTGACAACTCTTGGCACCAAGCCGAATACGATCAAAGATGACCGATAGGATCCCTCAGGGCAATCCTGAATGGTACCCAAGGTCCACATCAGAATTCAACAGTATGCATTAGGTAGAGCAGAATACGCAACAGGCCGTGTCGAAATGTCCACAACAGAATACACATTTGGCTAAGAAAAGCTGGCGCGGCCCGTGTGGGCGCTCCTGTGCACCAGCCAAAATCACCCACCTGCCAAACCGAACCGGTCAAGCAAAGGAGGGAAGCGAAACTCTTGGGCCCTCGCAGTGCCGAAGCCAGAGCCTCAAGCGCGAGTGCGAGCACGATTCGTGAAAAGCACCAATGCTTGTGCTTGAAACTATAGTTTCTACTAGCTTCTTGTTACTACTAGTAAGGCACTTGTTACTAGTAGCGGTGCACTTGTTCCTAGTAGCTTCTTGTTTCCTAGACTGCTTAACAAAAGGGATGTGCTGCTGGTCACTGGTCCCAAGCCTTACACTTTGCCTATGTAAGAACGCGCCTATGTAAGAACGCAGCTGAGCAAACGCAGTAGAGCAACAGTACTATGGCCAGGACATTGTTCGTTCAAAAAAGCACAAGGCTTGCAACCTTGCCTGAAGTTGCATTCCGCCGGTCCCAGATCACATGCTCGTCATCTTGATTCATGAAAGCTCTTGGTAAGCTCTTTGGTACATGTTAGTCCTGGTTGCCTCTGGCAGTCTCGTCCGCTGAAAGCGCTAGTTAAGCTTGCCGGCTTGGCTCTTTAACGTTCCTTGTATTCTTCTGTAGCGCAAAGATTCTTTGTTTGTGGAAAATTGGACGCGTTATCTATTGCTCTGGATGTCCTTTCATTTGCCCGGAGTGATGCTGGAATGGCTGCACAATGAGGACACAACATCACCCATTCTGCATGCTGAATGATTCTGCTTGCTGTGTGTCCATGCTGCATCACACAAGCTCTGCGATGCTGCGCATGATTTGGGAATAGTAGCTTCTTGTTACTAGTAGCGATCTGATGCCCTTTGTTCCTAGTAGCTTCTTGTTACTAGTGCCTCTCAGTTCGGCACTTCACCTCCAGCTGCACAGACCTTGTGCTGCACAAGCTATGAAACCAGACGAGACGCAGTCCGCCAAAAGCTGCCACGCAGTCCGCGCAGCTGCCAGTTCAAATGGCAAATTCATGGGAGGGCTGTGCTGCACTGCCATGCTGCTTCTGCGCCGCTGCGCAGGCAGTGGCAGTGGTTGGCCCAAGGCACATCATTTTGTGCGGGCGCGCATGGCTCGCATGATGTTGTCCCATAGCATGATGGCGGGTGCGCGTGAAGTGTGAAACCACGGCCTCTTGGCAAAATTCAATGAACTGCCCTCCAAGCCTTTTGTTTACAAAAGGCTTTCGGCTAATGTGGCTAGAGGCCACCATGTAATTATCCAAGTGCCACTTGCAGGTTCTGCGCTATGAAACTATGAGGTCTGCCCTCCCCACCCCGAAGGTCTAGAAGGTCTGTTCTCCAAGCAATGTGGAGACTCCCCCAAGTATCCATTCCCCCCTAATAGGAATGACCTCCAACCCACTAGCCATGGCCTCCAACCTACTACCCTACAGGCCCTACAGCGATGGCCTCCCCCCGATGGTCTCATCTAGAGAAGGGATCCCCGAAACTAATGTGTGCATGGGAGGGCTTCCCTTAGGAATCTCATCGGTGTCCCTTATAATTACCTTGAAAGAATCAAGCGCAATTCTCAAATTTTTGGGCGGGCTCACGAAAGAAGGGCTTGGTGGGAGACCCTTTGAGAATAGAGACATAACATAGTGGACAGGTAGAATAAAGTGAAGTGAATGATTTTCTCAGTGTGGTTTGTGAGTGATCCATGAATGGGCAACCGCCAAAGGCATGAATATTAGCCAACATGAGCAATTGTTCAGACCAGTCTGGAGTTACTCTATTTACAATAGGACCATAGGATGAAGGATTTATTATTTTTGAGATCAAACATTGACGGGCGGGGTGAACAAACACAAATACACGACTCAAATGGGTTCTGCAAACATGCAAACAATGCCAAAGCAGTTTTTGAAAGGCGGAGGGGTTAGAGGGTCTTGCAAACAAGCTTGGCCAAGGCCCAGTGGGCGCTCCCGCAGTTCTTCAGATTTATGGTCTCTTCAATTTGGTCTCCACCCTACTAGCGATGGTCTCATCTGGAGATGATCTCAACAAGAGATGCGTTTGAAAGTGGCACCTTTGGACGAATTTCATTCGATGGTCGCGCGCTTCTGTCTCAGTCGTGACAAAAGGTCATTGCTTCCAGCCTGTATGCCTTGCTACTAGGCGGCACGTGGAGCAGCTTGAAAATGAACTTCCTCCGTCTGTCTCCTTCGATTTTGTCTCTTTTCTTTCTGTTGTTGTTTTCTTTCTTTCTTTCTTTAGACCTTTTTTTGTTCCCCTTTCTTTTGACCTATAAGGCGACAGGAAGCTTTTTTTTAAAAGATTCTTATAAGCCTGGAAGTCTTTGAAGTTTATACCATTTCTCTCTCTCTCTCTCTCTCTATTTCTCTCTCGCAGAGCGCTTCGCCAGCACCACACTCTGAGAACGGAACTTGCAAAGCCCTTGGGGTTGCACTTGCTCAATGACAATGCTGCAATGCTGCTTAAAATGCAAGTGTGGCGGGCAAACCCATTTCAAGATCAGGAATCCTGCTGCCCTTGAAGCATCATCTCTGAACTTCTTGGGAGATTCTTGCTTGTCTATGTAGTAAGACTATTCCTAGAAAATGGATGACCGATGCAGTTGCCTCAGGCCCTAATTCAGTAGAAAAAGGCTAAAGGCGGCTAAAACATAAGGAAGAAAAGGTCAGGGCCCCTCTAATTAGAGGGGACTTTCTTAAAGGGAACCTTATCGTTTTGACGGGCTTCGTTTAAGCACGGGCTCTTGTTTCTTCTCTTTTTTGACTTGTCGTCTTTCTGCCGATCTGAGGTTCTGGCTCCTTTCTTCTTCGGCGGCTGCGCTGTCTTCTTCCACTTGGACTTAGCGTAACCGGCACTTGCGTGGTCTCTTCAGCTTCTTGAGGGACAGTCGGACTAAAAAGGCACGGTTCCAAACATTCCAAACACAAGCAAGAAGTAGCAGGGAAAACTAATATGTAAAAGCCTTTTTGAAGTCGTGAGTCGTGATGGTAAAAAGTAGTAACAAGAAGCTACTAGGGAGAAGATCTGTGTTACTAGTAGCGATGGCCTCCGACCTAATAGCAATGGCCTCCACCTAATAGCATCCTTGTTACTAGTAGCGATGCCAGGAGCTACGTTCGTAGCGCCCTTGTTACTCGTTTCATTGTTTTCACAGGTCAAAAGCATTTCAGCGCTCCGAGCCCAAAACAATTTGCTTTCCCTTCACCCCGTAGCCCATCCGTTCAGCCAATGTCATCTTGGGAGTCGGTTCCACCTCGTGCTCCTTGGGCTTGCAGGGCTGAGATGGCACCGCCTTTTTGCATTTTGTGGCTTCACACGGTGGCACTACAAGACATACGCAAGGTTATATATCTGGAACTTCTCTATATACAAAAGTGCCATCAAGAAAGCAGGTCATCCATCCTCGTTGTCGGACAGGTCGGCCTGGTGGGTCACCCACACACCCTGCTGTTGCAAAAAAGACGGTCTGTCGCCTGCTCCTCTTCCAATGCTAGTAGTGGCTTTGTCGGCCGGAGCTCCTTAAAGCAGCATTGCGAAGAAAAGCCGCGAAGAAGAACCACGTTGACACAAGTGCTTTGTCCTCGGACTTCCGTCGTTGCCGTGCACGTTCCAGGGCTGATTCCTGATTAAATTATTGTGAATCTATTTCAAGGGCCTGCAAGACACCAAGTAAAGACTGATTTACTTTGAAGAACCGTACATTGGCAACAAAGCTATTGTGCCACCCTGCATGCTTAGGATTGGGCCATTTCCTCAACACTCCGCGCTTGACGATTGATCTGACGTGTTGTCCTGGTGAAGCTGAGATGAGCTGGAGCTGTGAATGCATGAGGGTGTCGAGCATCGTGATATGCCGATGTTTGAGTAATGCATTGGGTTTGGCTACTAGCGATGGCCTCCAACCTTATAGCTAGTTATGGCTATTGTTCGCTACCATCTTCAATATTATTTGCTTATCGTCGAAGCCGTAAACTTTCTAAACGCATGAGTGGAGTGGCCTGAAGTAGGAGAGAGCACTGGATGCTCTTTGAATTACCTCTTCCTCCGAGAGCAAGCGCAAACCTAAGTTGGGCAAAAGAGTCTGGCATAGCCCACTTTTAGGACATACCTAGGGCCCGTGCCAGCCTTTTCGCTTTTCTGTGACTTTGCTTGACCAACCAAAGATTTAGCATAGATTTGTAAGGTCGAAGCTCCCTCCCTCCACCATACCTTCAGCCTCGGGCATAGATCAAAGTTTCCAGTTGCTAGAGCTGCTGCATGAGTGTCTGCTGACACAAAACTTTAAAAAACAGTTCACACATCATGAATCATGTGCAATAAACAAGTTGCACGGCGTTGCACGGCGTTGCACGGCGTTGCTTGCATCTGATCTACACAGGCTGAATGGTTTTTGTGCGCATGTCTGTTGCGCTTGTGCTGCCTGGATCTCTTGAGAGTAGCCTTGGGCAATCGGCAAACGCACGAACCAAAGGGCATCGCTACTAGCAACAAGGACGCTGCTAGGGGCTCCTGGCATTACTACTAGGAGCAAGAAGCTACTAGGAACAAAGGGCATCGCTACTAGGAGCAAGGACGCTACATACTAGGTGGAGGCCATTGCTAGTGGGAGGCCATCGCTACTATAGTAACAAGAAGCTACTCCTCTTCTTCTCCCTACTATATAGCTTGTTGTTACTAGTAGCGATGGCCACCAGAAAATAAGCATCCAAGTGGCCATCCAAGCAATCAGCCTTGTGACGATTCATCGGAGCACCTGATGCAGTCCATTTTGCTTCTCAAATTTTGCACTTCTCAAAGCTAACCTCGAGGCATATTTAGCACTTCTTGGAACTGAACTTGAAGATGGCGGCCTCAGGACCATGTCGCCAGCCATCCTGGAAAGGAAACTCTCGGCCCCATGCCCTACGTGATCATTCTAATTAAATTCTTATTGTTACTGCTAGTAAGGCACTTGTTTCTAGTAGCTTCTTGTTACTACTAGTAAGGCACCTGTTACTACTAGCGTGGCACTTGTTACTAGTAGCTCAAGTTTGTCAATTATTTTGCAAATATGCGTTCATTCATTGCAGGTCCTGGTTGAATGAGCGTGGGAGCCTCTAAAGCTGCTATCAAGGTGGCTCAAACTGGATAACATTGGATTGCTGAGTGACAAACCGAATCCCATTTCACCCGAGGATGCCTTACCTCAGCTCTTGCACAGCTAGTCAAATTATGTCAAAGTGTTTGGCATGTTGACGAAAATGGACAGCATCAGCATCAAATTCATCAAAACTGTGCAACGCCGTTAAGCTCAAAGTGCGGCCCAAATACTTGATGGCCGACGGTTCAAGTGCGCTTCGTGCACAATTGCCACCGGTGGAGGCTGACATTGTGAGTGCAGGGAATGGCCTCGGCATATCTTGTCAGCAGCTCAGTGATTTCAAACTTCGAAACTTTGTCTTCGAAGGCCTCCAACCTACTAGCCATGGCCTCCAACCTAATAGCCCATTGTCATTGATTGCACACGTTTTAGACTATGTCCCCCACAAATCAGCGCGCTCGTTGGAGACAGCAGCTCTTCCAACATGAGCAATCCGAGCTCGGGGTCTGCATAAACGTCTGCCACACCTTCCGCTGGTAGGAAGTCCACTCTCAAGCAGGTTGAACGTTTGTTTATTCAATTGGTCCAGAACGAGACAGAAACTGATGACAAAGCAAAACTAACTAACTAACACCCGATGCAAGGGAGACATCTGGCCATCCTTTGGTTGAAAAGCCACATGAAGCATCCTGTCGTGCCAGTGTTTCGGGCCTCGCAGTTTCCTCGCGTTAGGATTTTGAGCCGAGTAGCCAAGGTCCACAAAACGAAGAGCGTCACAAGTTGTTCCTTGCCTTTCTAGCCCTGATCAGCCCTGAGTCTTCTCGACCAACCCTTTGGCCACATTTGTTTCAACATCACTGAGACCCTTTGGTCTCAGGCTCTCCTGCTTTGGATTTCGGTCTGCGTTGCCCGAGTTCTGCCAAGCTAAAAATTGAGGCCACACTCTAGTGTGGCCACAATCCTCTGGAAAAGGAACGAGGCAAAGAACACACTCAGCCTACCAAACTACAGATTTCGCGCAGGAAGAGCCCAAGAAAAGCCCCAGCAACCATATGATTCAATGATTCTCCTATCCCTATGCCATAGGTCTGATTGGATCTGATTTGTCACGTGAAAACAAAGCCGCGTGCATGTATGCCGAAGTTGACCGGCAAAATACCACGCAGCCAAACTCGAGATTGCAAGCGGCTACACTCGAAGCTGCGCTTCAAGTGACATCATCTCCGCAACAATCCGCTTGCACGCTGCCAACCTTGAGGCCAACAAAGGTGTAAAGCTTGATTTGAAGTAAGAAGTTTCACTGGATTTACATTGGTAGGATAGCTGAGTTCGTTTGTTGTCGCGTGGGCAATGCGTCAGGGTTATGTTGGTTACTATGTTGGTTATGTTTGCTGCTGTCATTGTCTGACTCATTGGTTTGTTGTCGACATGATGTCCGTATGTTCGGGGTCGGGTCACTGCTGGGACACTGGCTGGCACACTGGGTCGGAGCACTGGCAGGACACCGGCGTTTATGATTGGGTTGGGCCACTGGCGGGATTTACTGTGATGCTTGGTGTTGTCATTGCTGGTGTACTTGCTTCTTGTCTGTTGTGTTGTTTGTCCTTGTGTTTGGCGTTGTCAGTGTTGTGCTTCCTTGTCTGTTGTGGTGTTATATAGTCATTGCACTGGGTAATGCAGTGATGCGCTGCACAAGCAAAGGTCACGATAGGATGGGTTGTCTATCTAGCCCCCGCAAACTAACATGGAACCTGAGAATTGACAGGTGGAAGACAATTTCCTCTGCAACCCGGTTGCGGGGAGCAAATCTAGCTGCCCTAATCCTGAGGAAAAGCCCCTTTTTCTGCAAAAGTTAGAGGCTTTAGTTTCTTTAGCTACTAGAGCAAAGGGCATCGCTACTAGGAGCAAGGACGCTACTAGGGGCTCCTGGCCTTACCTCTACTAGGAGCAAGAGGACGCTACTCGTTCCTTTACCTTTTTTGCTATGCATGTTTTTACATGTAAAACATTACATGGTCCACGACCTGAGGCAAGCACCCAACGGGGCCAAAGTTCATTTCTCCATGCCCCATGCTGGGAAACCAAAGGAGCCTCTACCAAAAACAAAGCGGAAAACATAGGAAGCTTCACCCTTAAAAGGGGCCTGACTAAACTGACCCATCCAGGATGCATTTCTGATCTTCTCATAAGTCCATCAACCATAATGACATACTATATGAAACATAATCAGCATGCGATACCATATGAGTACAGCCGTTATGGCATACTATGACATACCGTATGGCTGCTGCCTGACGTATTCGTGCCTGAATGCATCCCCACCGCGTTGCTGTATCCAACCAGTGAGGAAGCGTCGGACCTGTTCCGATGTGCTCTGCAACATGATGCCAGCAAGGTGATTGCGGAATTGTACATCAAGACTAATGTATCTGTTGTTTGCAGTTTAACACTGCCAGGGTGCGGAGTGTGCAGGCACCTCAGTGACATGTCCAATGCTGGCGCACATTCCGTAGCAAAAGCTAACCACAACCCTCACAGCTGCCAAACTCAGCAACAAGGCTCCAGCAATTGAATCCTCTCCCGAGAGCATGACCATGCAAGGTACTTGCAGCTCCTGGCTTCAACTTCAAAGCGAAGCAAAGTCAATCACTCGGACTCTAAGAATTTGCAAAGCCCCACCTCTGGCCACAGCAAATTCTGATACCAGAAAAAGTTTCGGGAAAGACTGTGCCTGCCAGGCCGAAACACAACACAAAGTCACGAGGACGAGGGAAACAAAAAAGCAAGAACAAAGACGTCTTAAGGAACCTAGAAGCGATGGCCCCTAACCTAATAGCGATGGCCTCCAACCTAAAATCAGCGGTCACGCCAGGTTAGTTCTATGTTTTGCAGCTAGGGCGCGCAATGTACAGCTCGCGGGCGACGAAGTAGTGCATGAGCAGCTGAGTGGCTGTCTGCGGCTCCCGGTACATGAAGTTGTAGCAAACCTGGCTCGAGATGTTTACTCAAGGGCATCGCTACGTTCGTAACAAGGGCATTACTACTAGTGTTACTAGTAGCTACTAGTAACTAGTAGTAGCAAGATGTAAATTAGAAAAGTGCGCACGAATCAGGCCCAACATTTCCCTAGCCTAGCAGAGCAGCAGTCGGAACTGGCTGGAGGGATGGCACGCTTAAAAACATGACTGCAGGCCGCACATTTGCCAACGAAGACAAGCAGCGCAGGCATAGAAGGTAAATACAGTGAGATAAAGAATTCGACGACCAAACTGAGTAAAATGTACACAAATACAAAGCAAAAGGAACTCTTGCATATAAGGAACGTGAACCTAAACAAGGAATCAAAAGCTCGAGAGGGGCGAAGAGAAAAGCAATGCTGCCGAGCGCAGTACAAACATTCTAGCCAAGGACTCAGAAACCTAGCAAACCATAAATGGAAAGGAGGAGGCCATCGCTAGTAATTGGGTTGGAGGCCATCGCTACTAGGAGCAAGAAGCTACTACGAGGTCTTTGAAGCTTTCTAGTAACTAGAGTAACTAGAAGCTACTAGGTGGAGGCCATCGCTAGTAGGTGGTTGTCAAAACAAAGAGACCAGGAGCCCGTAAATATCCAACATAATGGAGAATCAACTCACTGGACTGCAACTCGGTCAAGTAAAATGCCGTGTAAGAAAAACAAGGAGAAACGAGTGCCAAAAAAATTGAGACAATGGAGGCAGAGGCCGCCAAGTTCTACAAGAACAACGCATTCATCCTAGCAGTATGCCTGCATGCACACTACTCCAAAATGCGAAGGTAGAGGACATGTCACGCCCTTTGCCGACTTTGATTTTGTTGTTAGTTCCGTTTCTCTGGAAGCTGCGTAGCTGAGATCCAATCCTAAACTACAGGGTCACTGCTTGTTGCGCGGCTGGTGCATTTTCGCGAAGGCTATTATTGGAATTGTTGGATGGAAACTCAAGCCAGTTGATGTTGCTAGGGTATGATTCAGGTTGAATATGTGAAGCAAGAAAAGCATCATTCTTGCTTTAAAAAGAAGTTGGGGAGAAGTTCACCATTGCCTTCTGTAGGACAGTAGGATGACGCGTGCCCATTCTCAGCCGTCTTCTTTTCTATCCTGTTTGTGCTCGACGCCCTGCGTAGATACCACACTGGTTGAAAAGGAAAGGGACATATTTGGGTACATTGCACCTCCTCTTGAATACAAGGGTCAGGTGAAAGCTATGACGCGCAATGTCGTTTTCGATCAGAACAAAACTAGGAAATGGGGTGTCTGATGCTGGTAGCCAACTTAGAGCGCAGCATCTGGCTTGATGAGTAGAAAGCACACAGGATCAAGAAAGGTAGCGACGCTAACCTCAGCTGAAGTTTACAGAATTCACGCACAGATCCAGTCCTTAAGCCTTAAGAATTGCAGATACTTTGTGACTTGTGTGAAGTGAAATTTTGAAAAGCTGGGATCTTGGCTGTCTCCTTGGCATTTCTGCACATCCAAGCCACCACGATCGACCCAAAGGAGTGACCCACGAAATGGGCCTTGCCATGATTTTCATGTGGAAATACAACGACTACTAGCGATGGCCTCCAACCTAGCGATGGCCTATCAAAAGGGGACACCATTCGTTTTTGCTTCAAGAGGGGTCCCAAAAAAACACATGCCCAAGCAGCGAACAATATCGTGTGGGATTATTCTGCAAAATAATTTCTGCACGACTTGGGCTTGCACAAATGTGTGGTCCCAACTCAGCAGCATGTCGCGCAAGCAAGCGACCATTTCAGTAGAGGAAGGAACATCCTTGCGTCATTTGTTTCATGCCCGAAACAAGCTGGATTCAACTTGAGAAATCTTTTGAGGCACCCTTCAGGATATCATTTCTCCTCTTTGATGCGCATGGAGATATGAGGCAAGGAGACCAGGAAAATGTCTTTGCCTTTGGGCATTTGCCTGGTCGAGAATCCCATTGTTATCTCTCACATCTTAGTCTGATTTCCACACATGATATCGCCTCAAAAGCTCAGTGATGAAGTGGACCTGGGCATTTCTGTTCACGTTGCGCAGTTTAATTCGAGCGTCTGTGTCACCATCACAGCTGAGCAGCGTATGGGAGCAAATTCACACCGACGCCATGGCAAAAAACTATAGGTGGCTGTGAACCTGCCAGCTGCAATAGCGACAAGACCCTTAAATGTTAAACAACAAATCTGAAACATGTTTTACACATCTATCTTCACTCAGCATGCTCTTCGGCCATTCATATTGGGGCAGGTGCTCTTCCCTCGTCCACGCCGCAACCAGTACCAAAGAGTTCCACTCCTCACAGCTGAAACACATTGGAACATCTGCGCAGTTAGCAACTGTGGAACTCAGCCCTAGTAGCTTCTTGTTCCTAGTAGCAATGCCAGGAGCCCCTAGTAGCGTACTTGCTCTAAGGCCAGGAGCCTTTAGTAGCTTCTTGTTCCTAGTAAACCCACTTAATTACGCACAGTTGCTTTCCAATTTGAATTCATGATGTGCCAAATATTTTTTGTCGTTCCCTTTGGAACCTGTGCCGGCGGAATCCGAGATTCTCGAGGTTGTAGGTGTTGACCACCTCAGAGGGCTGCGTCTTTTCAACCTGGTGAACCGATGTAAATCAGTCCGCCGCTGGCATGGCCAAAGCTGTCACCTCAGGGGCTTTTGAAGCACATGACCTCCTTCACCAGAATCGTGGGACTAGACAAGATCAATCGGATCTTTCCGAAACGACTGTGAAGGTTCATGGTTCATGGTTTGAATGTTGGAAACAGGTCACGGATCACCAAAAATGGACGCTAAGCGTCAGGGTTTGCAACAATCCAAGATCCACCCACCCCTAGAAAATCCTAAAAAGCCGGAAGAATGAAAGTAGCTGACGCTACCTTTCATGACTTGAACACTGGCTTCAACAAACTTAAACGCTGTTTTCCAGAGATCAAAGACGCGGGCAATGTAGTAGATCAGCGGTCGCTGCTCCGATGGGATTGGATCCTGCAACGCAGCTAGCCGTATAGGGCCCTTCTGGGCCCTGGATGAGCACAACTTCGCATGCAAGAACGGCGCGGACCGTCGACGGGAGCATGCGGGAACTGAGGTCAATGCCATAGTCAAGCGCATTGCTTGCACATGCGGGTTGTAGCCCCGTGGGAAGTCCACACCAGCCCATTGGGCACCTGGCACGTGCCATGTTGCTTGCTACTAGCGATGGACTCCAACCTACTAGCGGCTCGGCCTCTCACTCCAAACTCTTGATTTCAGTGCCACCACCGGTGCTCTTCACAGTGGTGACCCGACGAAGTCATGAGATCGCAACACCTTTTTGGTGCTACTGCTGTTTCTCACACAGAAATTAGGTTTACTCAACGGTTCTCTAGGCGCCGCTAGCCGCCCTCCTAAGAAAAACACCCCAAATGCACCTTCATCTATAAGCTGCTCCAGCTCTTGGCGTCTTTGAGCAGGTACCTGTTGCAAAGCTATTTCAAAGCTCGGGGGGAAGTGAGCAGCGTCCGATTCAGATTCTTACTGACTCAAGTGTCGCAGGTTTTGTCAAGAGTTTCCAAGTGTGAGAGCACTTTCTGCCCCGTTTGATTTATTTTGGCCGATTTTGGCCTCTCTGTTCCCCTTTCTCCGAGTTGGTCTTTTCCTCATGGCATTCACCGGCGCAAGCAGCCAGCTTGTTGAAGAATCTCACGACAGTGCCTCTTTCTCTCCGAATCCCCTGGTCCCAAAAAGTCCAATGCATTGTCACCGTTCTCATCCACTGCATGTGGGTCCGCCATTGCTTGCAACAAGAGTCGACAAGCACTTCCTCTCGCTCGATTGGCGCCACACAAAAGTGGCGTTTCATGAAAATGGTTTCGAGAATTGGGATCAACCTGCCTCTCCAGCAAGAGCTTCATGATATCCAAATGCCCACCCCTCGCTGCCATATTTAACGCAGAGTTGCAGCCCTTGACTTGGACTTGTATGTCAGGAGGTGCCCGTCCCGCCAGTAAGGATTGAACCGCATCCATATCACCTGCATAAGCTGCATTCACCAAGCGAACGCCATCAGCCGATCGTGGTGACAAACCTTGCAGCTCGTCCATCTCAGGTGGGGCTTCAAAGGTCAACGAAACGCCTTCAGTCGGCCATGTCTTATACACTTGGCAAAGAGTCTCTCCCAGATGCTTCTTGGTCATGCGCAAACGCCAACCTGCAGGCAAGCCTTTCCCTGGGAGTGTAATTCTCATGCACATCGTTGCCGGGTCAAAATATTCCATATCCTTTCGCAAGTCTTGTACTGAGGTCCAGGTTACCTCCACTGCATCCATACCCAGTCAAGCTCTCGCTAAGCCATCGCTAGCTTCAAACAACAACCTCTCCTTCAGCCTGTCAGCCCAGTGACTCCAAAACTATTCGAGAATAGAAAGGTATGTTACAGTCAAGCCTATCCTATTACCAGTAGCAGTGGATGATGATGATTAGTAAAGGCCTTGTTCAAAAATAGTAATAATTGCTTACTGACTGTTACAGGTATTAGGACAGACCCAAACTATACTGAATAGAATGGCACGACGGTAAAACAACATGAAGCGAACTGTGAATTTCCTCATGTTAAATCACTGATTGCTTGAGCCGGCAACCACATCGCTGCGCATTGTCCATCCAAAACAATACTTGTATAACTGCTTGTCACGCTCGTCTGACAAGGCTGAGATGTGTGAAGGAATCTTGCCTCTGCAGGTGTGCAATGAAAAAAGGCCCACCTTGGACAAATCTCTGCCTCTTCCAGACCAAAATGCGCAGTGATAGGCTAGTAGGTTGGAGGCCACCGCCAGTAGAAACAAAGACAAAAGAAAAGGAATGAAAGGTCCAATAGTAGCTTCTTGTTCCTAGTAGCCCCTAGTAGCGTCCTTGTTCCTAGTAATTAGTACAGCCAGGAGCCCCGAGTAGCGTCCTTGCTCCTAATGATTTCTGATGATGAAAGGTATCACCAAGGCTCGGACGCCATCCATTCAGCTAAATTGCCCCTGCAGAGTTCAGCAACTTGCGCCGCCGGCCACCGACAGCCGGTCCGCCGGTCAAAAAACCTTAAAAGGCAATGACAACAAGAATTTGAATTCTTCTGCAGGTTGCATCACATTGCATCTGGCCATCTGCGCATGAATCTGTTTTTGTGCGCCTTGCTCCATTGGCTGGGCAGCTCTACAAGGCCAAAAGCAATTCAAACTACCGATGTCTTGGCTGCTGCAGCCTTGCCCTCTGCACTCCATTCAGGCAAATCATAAATTCCGCTGCAAACCTTAACAAAACCAACACCAAATGGACCGTTTGGGCCCACGTGACTGGCAAACATAAGAGCCTTTTTTGAGTAGAAATCGTTTAAGTGTCGAATCGTTGTGCTTGATCCAACCGTTTGACGCCAAGGGCACTTGAAATTGTGGTCCGCACTTGGCTTTGGTGCATCTTCGGCAGCTCGGATTAGCATCCCCCCCGCGGGCACATGGCCTTGGGCGGCCCACGCTGGCGACCAGGACCCAAACGGGAGGGCTCCAACTCTCGGGGCCTTGGAAGTTTGGTTTTTGGTGGTCCGCTTCGACACTTACTGAATGGCTAGACAGGGTCAAAAGGATTGATCGGCAGAGGCAAACAATTTGTAGCTGGAGCGATGCTGCACCCGCAAAGCTCATGACACGGTGACCCGCAGAATTTGAGCACGACTTACAGCTCTCAATGCCATCCCCCATCTAAAAAAAGCAGTGTGAAACCCCTCAGATGCATGCTGCATAATTGTTTAGATTTGGCGTCTTAACTGCCGCTTGCATCTCGCTGGTGTTTCTTATTGTTGCAATGCGCCAGAAGTCTTTTGGGCTTGATTTGGCTTGTTACATAAAACCGCACAAGCCTGTTTATCTTTCTATGTCTTTCCTTACATGGGAGGGGGGTATCTCATCATCTTGATCTTCTGCGGAAAACTATCTACCCTTTTGGAATCCAAAGGCTTCCAAAAGCTCCGCATCCTGCTTTGGGGTAGCAATGGTTTCGTACCTTGTTTGTCGCAAGCGACGGCGATGGATCTGGGTGTCATGGTTTTACCAGTTCCGCTGTTCCGCTGGTCATACCTTTAGCTCCCTGGGATCTCTTTTAAGCCTTTCGACCGTCCTCCTAGCAATATAAGTTACACGTGTCTCTGTTTTGTGGCTGTGGTATTTAATCTAGTGAACATTTTGAAAGGAAAAGGCCAGAATCTGGACTGGGGCCAGTGGCTTTTATGATCTTTTTCGGAGCCCCACGCGTGCTAGGCCGTGTGGATGGCGTTGAGTTGCTGGATTACACTTTGGGTTTAGAGCGTTCTGAAACATCCGGATCAAAGGTCGGACTGTAGAGTCGGATGAGTCGGATTGGAAAGTCATTCTCCCTTAAAAACATGAGCAAACAATTCCAATAGCTTTGTTTGAGCAAGCACACAATGTGGGGAAGGCTCAATTTCAGACTGGCCACATCCAGCACTTTGCGGCAGTGCAGCTCACCAAGCCTTTCCAAAAACTTTGAAACTGCATGTTCAAGGTCGAAACAACTCCGAAGCCATGTGGATCTGAGGAGCTCAGCCGTCCAACAAGGACGATGTCGTTTCAGTCAGCCCGGCCCCACCTCCAAAGCATTCGGAACAAGGCGGGCCTCAAGGCGCCCAAGTTGGAGAACAAACGCAAACGGGTAAAACTAGAGAACCCTATTAGATCCTAGTAGTAACAAGTGCCACGCTGGTAGTAACAAGTGCCTTACTAGTAGTAACAAGAAGCTATTAGATCTTGTTAGAAAGGAATAAAGGTCTAAAGAAGAACAAACAAAAACACCTACTAGCGATGGCCTCCAACCTGTTAGCGATGGCCTCCAACCTGCTAACGAAAAGAACCCTCTTAGCAATTTCATGCAATTTCTTTCGCCCCTCTTGATCCCTGTAAGTAAGAACCTTCCCCGTTAAGTCTAGATCTAGGAACCGAATCACTAAGGCTCAGGCTTCTTCAAGAATGCTGACGCCCTCAGGCGAGGGGAGCTTCCTTGAAGATGCCTGGGCACTTCTGCCTCCTTCCTTACTACTAGCAATTGCTCAAGCCTACTACGGCCTTCCCCCCCGCACAAAAAGCAGCCGGGATTACAGGAATCTCGGACAAGTGTGGTGAAACCAGGAGCCCTGTGAAAGCAGTCTCTCCTTTCATGTGCGATTTCACAATCCAAAAGCTGATGCTGAGGACCCTGGCTGTATCCTCGCTTTGCCATGCACTTGGCTGCACAGGTGAGTCGTCCCATGCAACGCTGGCCGCAAACATCAATCTCCTGAACAATCACGCTCGGCCCTCCAGCTGGTTCGTCCACAACCCGTCACGTTCACGAGCTGCAACTATGTCTTTGCACTTGTTGATAGTTCGTCTGGTCCATTTCACTCATTCAGGCTTTAGGGCTCCTCGAGTCCATCTAGACACTCTCCCTCAATCCAGGATCCTTCAGAAGTACCAGCCTGATTGGTATTCTATAACCGAATGTAACCAGTTCTGCTGCTCTTGGGGATTGTATGTGACTGTGTGTGTGACCTATACAGCGTAAAGTACAATTGACACTTGCTTCCACACTTGGCACCTGCAGAAAAGCAGCGCGCCCTCCGCCCTTCCAATGTCTCAAGTCCTCGGAGCAATTCCGAAGCACGCTACGAATGGGGCTCCTGGCATCGCTACGAACGGAGCATTCTTACTACTAGTAACAAGAAGCTACGAGGAGGTCTTTGAAGCTACTAGTCGGAGCAAGGATGCTACTAGGGGCTCCTGGCCGTACTACTAGGAGCAAGAAGCTACTAGTAACAAGGGCATCGCTACTAGGAGCAAGGACGCTTGAGGCTCACTTGGCTTCTGGGCTGATGCATTTTGGCACGACTGTGTCGCATCCTGCCGGCTCAAGCTCACTAGCCAGGCCATCAAACAATGTTTGTTCGTGGTTGTTTGTAGTCCAACACCCAGCCGCCTAGTCTTCTAGTCTACTTTGCACAACCACGCCTTGGAGACCTTGGAGCCAAAAAGTCCACTTGCCTCCGCCAAATTGCAATCAGAATAGTAGGTTTTACAAGAGAACAGACCTAATGGCGATGGCCTCCAACCTATATACTAGCGGCGATGGGCTTCAAATGGTTTCAAACACTGATTGCAATCATAGTTGGACATGACTTGCCCTGGCCTGCCAGGCTAAAACGATGGCACCACCAAGCAGTGTTACCTCTGCCACGCGCCGGGGTGCGTCTATTTTTGAGAAGTCTTGTCGAGGCCTGTAGGAACCGATTGCTGCTAAAGCCCATCTTCCATGGCTGTGCCAACGCCGCAAGTTGAGAGTGAGAGTTGGGGAAGGCCCTCCACAAGCGTTTTAAGGTTGAGAGACAAACAATGTGAGGCATGCGTGGCGCGCCAGGAGTAGGGCTGAGTAGGGCAAAAAACTGATGCTCATTTGATGATAACTAATTGCAAGTTGTTGCGATTGAGCTTGCAAGCTAACATGACCTTCAAAGTCTGAGTGTCAGTTTGGCCATAGTCACAATGAAACGGCAGGAGCAGGTTAGTCAAAAAGGCAACAACACACAACAAGCATTTCCCATCCACTTGTTGAAGCAAAACATGTCAACTTTATGAAACATGCACAATCACTGTCTCAGCCCTGTCTGAAGTCAAGACCACCCGCTGATCTCAGCGTGTTTCAGCCTTGGGAAACGGTTCTTCCTTAGGGCTTTAGCGGCTTTGGCCTACAATCTAAAACTCTTAATGGCTGCATGATCGGCGACTGACAATGAATTTCTTGAGGCCTTGGGTCTCCGAAGCTTCTAATTGGTTCTAAAGTGAAACACACAGAATGTCTACTTTTAGCCTCAGCTCTGGGGAAGTCTAGGCATGCTGTCCTCATGGTTTCATCACAAAACACAACCCCAATCGCCGTCCAGAGGCCAACGGTGCATCCATTAAAGGTGTCTTTGTTTCTTACATCGCTCTTGGGTTGGAGGTTATTGCTCTTAGGTTGGAGGCCATTGGAGTCAGGCCATAGTGAGAATTCGTTTCTTTCTTAATGGTTTCTTTCGTACTCAGATCGGGCAGAGTCTCTCAGATCGGGACGCCAGCAGCTCCGCATCATCCATGGCACTCTCCATGGCCATTCGTTCCTGCTTCCATTTCAAAGTTTAAATGAGGAACCATAACGTAACAATGTCAAATGCTGAAACAGGTTGAGCCATAGGTTGTTGATGTAGGAACTATGAGCACAACAATGTCAGTTAGGTTGTGTTTCAACATGTTTCAACCCGTTCAGCTCGGCCGAGTCAGCCTTCTCGCTTAGCAGCACTGCTGGAGCGATGTTCTGCGAGGTGACTGCGGGCAGCTTGGATCGCACGAAAAACCATATCGAACTGTTTGGCCCTCGTAATTACTGCGACGGTTGATAGTACTGGGACTTGCTGAGATTCTGCTCAAACACCGCTTGTGCTGCACATGGTGAGGTGTGACAACTATATACAACATAGCCGATCGAACCCGCTGTTTTCTTACCATCGGAGTGGCATGTTAGGTTTGGTCCCTTCTCACACTGGGGAAAAAAGTTGCCCACGTCATGATGCAGTTTGATGGGGCCGTGGTCTTGTCAGTTTCCTCCCATTTTGCCTCTCCGTCTGCATCGAGCCTCTCTTTATGGAGTCCCACTCGCGCAGCAGCTGCTCCACATTGGATTCATTTCTCTTGGGATGCAAGGCCTCGCTCAAACTATGCGAAGCTGTCAAGCTACTGCCATCTGCTCTTCTCGCTGTTCTTATCTTTTCTCCTTTACGCTATGTTCCTCGTCTTTCTCTTTCTGCGTCTGCTCCCTCCACAGAATGCTAAAGATTGTGGCAAACTGGCAAGCTGGCCTCCTGAAAGTCTTGCATGCTTGCCTGCGTGGCACTTGCGCGACATGGGGTTTGCCTGCCCTTTCAATGCAAAATGGTTTGTCAAGCCTTGGGTGACAAGTGAGGTGTCATTATCTCACGAGAGCCTTAGAAACAGTTTGACTTTGCATTCGGCTCAGCCTTCAAGCATCTGAGCATCCTGCCAGCATCCTGCCTTCATGCAAACTTTAAAATCCTGAGCCTGGAACGAGACCCCTCCAGCAAGCGGCCGCAAGCCTATGTGAATGGCTCAGCTGAAATCAAAAGGCTGAAACTTAGCGCATGTGCCCAAACAAATCTACAGTAGAACCAAATCAGCCTGCCCTTTAAACAACATATTTCAATGTAAAATGTATATACTTCAGGTACAACAGCCGCGAATCAGCTTCAGGTACAACAGCCTGCCTGCCTGGATGTCTTGCGTTGCCTGGAACACCCTCCGTAGGACATCCTGACATTAATGAACCAAAGAGCACACAATACATAAGAATCAAAAGGAACAAAACAAACAGCAATAAAAGAATTGCATACAAACCTGACATCGCTCGCCCTTTCGAACTCGCATACGTCTCAAACCCCGTGCAAACCCTGCATGCTGCCAAGTCAGCTTGGGTGTCTGCATCAAGCTGGTTCAACACGGCTGCTGCAACACCAGATTTGCAGCCAGCGCGTTCCAACCCCATCACTGCTGCTTCACATGTTATGACCTTAGGCAACAGTTAACACTGCTCAAATACGACAGGCATGGTGAATGTTGTGTATGACTAAGCGGCATCTTTCTCCACAAAGTGTCGCTGCAAATTGTTCAACACGTTGATCGCATTCTTCCAGCTGGACAGGAAAAACCAACAAATCGAAAGCGCAATGAAAAATGGACAAAGGAAGGAACTGAATGTTTATGATCCCGAACCATACACTCACCTAGCAACGACAACATTTCAAAACACATGCACACCTTGCCACCCTGCCTGAAACAGCAAGAGCATGCGCTGACAACGGCGTTGCAGGTGAGAAGATCACATTGAAAACGACGGATCTCCATGAAGTGCATGAACATCAAGGCACTTTCCCATCGGCGGCCCTTCTCGCTGGCTAATATGACAGCATTGAAAGTCACACTGTTTGCACCAGATTGAGAGGTATGGGTGTGTAGCTGCGAAGGATCAGCATGTTTGGGTTGCTCAATCAATTCAAATAGATGCAGGGCTTCCTGCCATGCAACCGTTGCACAAGCACTGATAGCGGCACTGCAGGTCACCACAGAGGTCATGATCCGCAACGACCTGCCCACTGGAAGAACCAACCCGCTAGCATCAGGAACCTAATAGGAATGGCTTCCAAACTATTAGCGATGGCCTCCAACTTGACCACAGTCTAGTCAAGAACGGGACGGTATGTAGCGAGATGCCTAACCTTTTTTGGGTCGAGACTGAGCACTGTTCGCCCAGAATCTGACCACCCTTTGACGCGGCGATTTCATCCAACATGGGGTGGAAGGAAGCTATGGCAAAGTAGCTGGTAGGGAACAAATGGTTTTCTTGATGAAACTCATGACACCAGGTGCACGAGGAAATCGCATCTCACAAGGTATATTCGATGCACTCGGTGCAGGTGGTGCAGTCTGAGCTTTCAAAACACCGAATGCAACAATCCGCACCACAATGCAATAAAACTTTAACCTCTGAACCAAAGATTACTACTACTAGCTGCATGGTACAATGCCGAGTTCTAGTTCTAGTTGAATTATTCTCAATTGATGACATACTTTGCGAAACATGTTGCTACAGGTCGATTTGATACTATCAAGATGTCCAATTTCTTGTAGAAACTACCGATTGTCATGCTCACCTCCTTCACTGAAAGACAAGCAAATGTCACGAGGATCCTGCAACCTTAGCCACTGGAAGTGCCAGTATACTCCTAGGACTCACATAGACAAGAAAACATTTATATAAAAAAATAAGCTGGACTAAGTGGGAAAGGAAAACACCGTGCGCAACGGACACGCCAATGATGGAGTGCATTCATCCTTTGCGCAAAACAAAGGACTAAGAAAAGGGCCCAAAGAACAAATAACAAAAAACTGCATCCGCGCAGGTGCGCCTGAATCGTGTCAGCCGTGCCAAGGTCAAATCCCACAAGCCACCCTTCTCGCAAGAGCTGATTACAGCGTTGTTAGAAATGACGTCTTCCTGGCGCGGGACATGATGTCCTTTTGGGAAGAATGTAGGATTCAGCTTGGTGTTATATGGTACCACATACTTGTGTACAGTATACCGCCTGTTGTTTCTACACTTTGGAGGTATATCTTCTCTTTTTATCAGCCCACCAATTAGAATATACTAGAACCGCAGGCAGTCTATAGAATAGTACAAGGGGCCCAGAATCTGACTCCTTGCGTGGCCGCTTCTTTGTGTTCATGTGTTGTCAGCGGGTCTCAAAGTGAGCACTGTTAATAATGGTCTTGCCCTATTGCTATCCTTTGCCTGTCCTTTTCTGAATTGTGGCTTTTGTCCGCGCATCTCTCTCCATGTTTGCTAGTATTTGCTCCCTCTGCCACATGTTGCCCAAAATTTAGAGCAAGGGCCAAAAGCACTTCTATCAGGGCGCCACATTGATTTTCCAAGTACGACGTCAGAATGCCAACTTTCGAAACAGAATGCCACCAAATCTCCAGAAGTAAGAGATGGCTTTGAGATGCCTAGTCTTAGACGAGCTCAGGTATCGCGTGGGCTTTGCAACCAGCTAGGACGACCAACCCTAGCTGGAGGAAGCCAAACGGAAGGGAATAGATAGCAGTGGCAGCATCTAGTTTGATTAACTAGTGTAGCACTTCACAGAATTACAATTAACGGCCAACTGCCATGGCTTCAGGCTAAGTAAGGGCAATTCTCTTTGTACGTCTCTTTTTTCTCGTGTTTGTTAGCTGTTTTTCGTTGGACTCTTGGACCCTTCTTTCCTTCCATGTTTTCCTGTCGATGGTATATGTGCCGTCACGAACGGTAGGCAGCCCACCGTGAAAGATCTTCAAGCAGTAGTTTCAGAACATCCTTCTTAGTATGGCGGTGCCCGAAGGTGATGGGCGGTTTGGAACAGTGACCACGAGCTAAAAACACGAGGAAGGAACACAAAGCACAAAAAGAACGACAAAAGAAAAGAACAAAAAACATACAAACACAATCATCAACAACAAAACAACAACGAGAACAAGAAACAAACGTGCAGCATATTGCAACTGAAAGCACAAGGCAAAGGGTCCACAGTTGAGCTCAGGAACCAATGCCACCCTAGACAAAGCTAAGTAACCAACGCCCCGATCCGTCCCATGCGACAGCCACGGTTGAACGGCCCCAGACAGGGAGACACCACTCAAGAGCTCAATGTGAATGAACAATTTGTGAGAATCAATTAAGGATTCTGTCATGAAAACACCAAAGCAGCTGACTGAGAATCATCTCAAATCCACGAAGCAACGAAAGCAACGAAAGCAAGGTGAAGGGGGATGTTGATACGTCTTCTTGGGCGAAGACGGGGAACGCCGATATGTGTAACATTGTGTAACCTCCACGAGCTTCGCCTCCAAACTGAGCTGAGACATCGCATCCAAAAGGCGAACAGCTTGCAACCATTGTCCTCAAACTGAACAACTTGGCCAACTAGTAACATGAAGCTACTAGGAACAAAGGGAGGGCATCGCTACTAGGTTGGAGGCCATTACTACTAGTAACGAGAAGCTATTAGTAGCTAGTTACTAGTAGCTGGAAACACTGCCATCCCGAGAATGACACTGTCTTCCTTCACGTTTGCTGGGCGTGAAACTCACATCTTACACATCCTGCCTTGTTTTCCACACGCGCTCACAGCTGCATTGCTTGAAATCCTTGGTCAAAACAGGCTCTTCATTCAGAAAAATGACCGGCCCAGAATCTAGAACGACAAAGGCACACCTTGTATCACTATATGAGTTCACGTGGCGCGCAAAAGGTTTTATGCGTGGTGGAGTGGGGCAGGAGCGCCAGAATTTCATGACAACTAATCTTGTTAAACATGGTTCGGGAAAAAAAATGAAAAAACAAACCATGGAACTGCGGCTGCACTTGCATTGAAAAAATATCAAGCAAAACAACACGCCTTGATACCGTCGTGGCAAAGGCACAGCGAGGAGCTTACAAACTGTGCTTTTTGCAGCTCTTTGCGCAGCATGAGGTCAAAGGGTCGTTGGCGCGAGTGCGGAAAACAACGACAGGCAAAGTTGGTCCTTGTGTGCTCAGGTTGAAGACCATTGCCCTCAGGTTGGAGACCATGGCTCTTAGGTTGGAGGCCATTGACCTCAGGTTGGAGGCCATTGCTCTTAGGTTGGAGGCCAACGCTCTTGGGTTGGAGGCCATCGCTCTCA